CGCGGACGGCTGGCAGGCCAGCTACGCACGCCGCAGTCGTGCGACGCACGCAGGCAAGAAGCCAGGCTTAAAAATACTGCCATGACCTAAACGCGCTCGCTGCCTGTATTTTTGTTTCGTAACAGGGAGACTCACTGCTGCACTTCTGCCCATATACACTGCACACACATGCACAAAAACATCTGACTGGGCGCACAACGATGCAGAGATCCGCAGGGACTTCTCATTAACTAGTTCATTAGTCCGTTATTATGGAAGTGTCAAAACTGAAGCTCCTTTATTCAGTTTGCTTATTTACTTTGTGGAAGCACACGACTCAGAGTGCTGACTCTAATTGCCTTGGCATTTCAACGGAACAAGCACCAAGACGCCCTGCATCTCACCCAGAGGGCTGGAGGGCCCAGCGTTTGCCCCTCGTGGTCACCGCACGGGACACGCTATGCCGTGCGCAGGGCTCATCTGCGGGCTCGCAGCCCCGGCCCCTCCAGCCCGAGCCACCCTCGGGACACCGAACCCTCGGACTCGGAGAATGCGGGTTAACGACAGAAGTGTACAGGCACGAGAAAACAGGTAAGTCAGTTACTCCTGTGTGAAGTTTATTTCACACAACCAGTTACCAATGTAGATAGTTTTATTTCATATTTTATATCAAATTCCTGGACTGCAAACATTGCTAACAGTTTGGGAAAACACCAAACTTCTGCCCAAGGAGAAATACGCTAGGTATGTTCTTGGTAACACATCTTAATTTTGAGGCGATCTCTCCACGTTTAGGACAGCGGTTCCTTCTCCACCCCAACAGCCAGTACAACAGGCACTTGGCTACCTTTTCTTACCGGCACTACAGCAATACAGTTTCTTCAACTACCTTTGACTTGAAAAAATGCCTACACGAACTACGTGACGTGGTCAGCAAATACTGAACTGAAATAATTTTTACAAGCACAAAAAAGTAAAACCGTATATATACCATAAGAGGCTCGAATTCTTTCTAAAGGCACAGTGTCTAATTACACTAAGTGCACCTTTTAAAGAAGGATATTAACAATAACAAAGTCCCTTCCTTCCAGGAGGCACCACCACTGCACACCCTCCCTTTCACCTTGCAGATAAGAACTAGCACATCTTGTAACACAGATGTAATAAAGATTTAGCACACGCACACCATTAAATGTTGGGAGCGATACAGGAGTGACACAAGACCTCTTAACACGTGGCTGGAGACCAAAGCCAGGTGGCCAAGACTGGACAGAGGCAAACAAGCCTTACGCAAACCAGTCCTCTGCTCACCAAGACATGACTTGTTAGCAGCCCAAGTGCAAGCGGCACGACTCCACGTCACCGATCCCTCTCTGCTGAGGGGCGAGGCAGCGGGAGCGGGCAGGGCTCCGTGCAGCGTGCTGCTCCGGCCCGGCCCACAGCTGTGCAGCAGGACGGCCGTGCGTGCCGCATACTGAACATGCACAGACGCTGCAGTCATCGGCTAAAGCTAACCCCGGGCACCCGCGGCCGGCCCGGCCCTCAGAGCCACGGGCTTCCCAGCCCAGCACCTCGGAGCCGCACCACGGTCATGATCCCCTGCGCAGGCTCGCTGCAAGACTTGGCGTGGGACCACCGGCTGCGTGGGATCATTCTTTCCAAAAGGGAAACCTTGGAAACAAACAAGCAAGGCTACAAATCCCAAGCAAAGCTTACTTCAGAGCTCTCAGAAGCCATGGAGTTGCTGAACTCTCTACTAGGGGTCTAGGAGCGACTTCACACTTGAAGGCCAAAGTGTTTTAAAGCAGCAATATTCTTCTTCTTTTTAAATGCCTAGGACTGGGGGAAGAGGTGGGATCTCCCAGGGCTTCATATTATAATGAGTTGAAAATGAAGGAAGGCAGACCTGGAAAAATTAAAATCTCTTTAGCGTCCACTTAATTGTGCATCAGACAGCTCTTTTCTGGCGGTTAGCTTCGCTTCATGATTCTCAGCCATTTCAGGGAAACAGAAAACAACATGCTTACGGAGATGACTACTCCATTCAGAGCTTTATTTTCTCTTTCTCAATGCATACAGTAACATTATACAACAGCCACAATAATAATGACAGAATCACAGAATCATTTAGGCTGGAAAACACCCTTAACATCATTGAGTTCAGCCCTAAACTTCACACTGCCAAGTCCACCACTAAACCGTGTCCCTCAGTGCCACGCCTGCGCGTCTTTTACACAGCTGCAGGGTACCTAGCGGACCCCTTCGCCCTGTCACTGGAGCGGGCAGAGCCCCGGCAGCACTGCCTGCACCCTGCTCCCAGCACTGCCAGCCGGCTCAGCAAACGGCATCTGCGCACGCCCACTAGCAAGGGAAAAACCTCGCACTCCTCAGCACAGGCATTACATTATTTAGAAAGCGCTCTGCTTCAGTCAGGGTTTAGCTTCTCGGGAAACGAAGAACAGCCTCTTTCCCCACTTCACAGGGCTAATAAAGATGTAACACAGAAGTAAGCACTGCAACAAACTTTTAGAATAAAAGGATTTTCTGGACACTCAAGTAGGGATCAGACGTGTTTCTGAACCTAGAATTCTATGCAGTGTTCGAGATTTTGAGTCATGTTGTGGACCGCTCATCAAAAATGCGGATGGGGGGCCAGAAAGTGGGCCAAATCCCAGTGAAAGGGAGTGATCTGTGATAAAATACAGGGGGGGCAGAAATCAGTAGGCAGCGCAAGTGTCTGATTCCACACATCGTATGAGAGAAACCATCCAGAACTCCAGACCTTAACACGCACCTTTCCCCGTTTCATTTCTCCATCTACTGCTCTTCGTGTTAAAGATGTGAACGACAGGTGGCTTAACTTTAAGATTTTTTATATAAGCAGCTGTGAAAGCTGAAAAAACGTCTTCAAAAAGCAGATATCTGCACTTCAAGAGTGATAAGAAGGTACAGTGTGATAACTGCTACCAAACCTCATTTCAAGATAATATTGTACCAATAACATTAGCAGTTTAATGTATTTCCACCAACATTCATACAACGTTCCTCCCTTTCTAAATTGTCTCAATTTCCTATTCAGAGACACGACCAAAGTCAACCACTAGACCTCCATGGATTTTCAGTCTTCACCTTCCACCATCCATTCTAACATTCCATTTAATATACTCTGCCCTTTATTATTTGCATCAACATTTGAAAATAAATGTATCTCAGCAGAGTACTTCAGAAAGAGATTTCACAAGGCAAATACAAAAGGGCACAGATATGCCGTTAACAAACACCAGATACACCTCTCGAGTCACTTTAAATTTAAAATTGAGAAAACCAAGTTAATCACAGAAAACCTTTATCAACGCTTTTGAAAGGCTGCTTGTGAAGTCGCAAGCATGCATCTTTCAGGAGGTCATCTCCCAAAACACCCAGCAGACCTTCAAATGAACCACTCCTGCCTCGCCACAGCCTTGGAAATACCCTTCTCCCATGCGGCTGAGGCAAACCTTAGACGTGCTGCATGTCATAAAACCTTTACGTGCATACAACGGCGTAAACGATGTACGAAAAAGTCACTTTCCATATCCACAGACCGTACCGGAGCAATCGTGGAAAAGCTACCAAACACTATCCTATATACCCCAAAGAGCCTTCTCCGAGAAAAAACTTTGCTGTTAAGAATGCGAGCAACACACCTGCACCTCGGCCCACGGGCTAGAAAGGCGCGCTCGTTTCTCAATAGCTCAGCAATTTGCCATTCCAGCAAGGCTTCCCACTTCCCTCCCCAGGCCCTGGCAAGGCCTATGCCAATCGCACACGCTATAAATTTTATACATAAACGGGCAACGAATATTCAAGTTGAAGCAACCTGAAGTGGACAAGCACGCATCACCTTCCCGAGAGGAGCGCGCCCACGCTGCCCGCTCGTGAAGTGAGCGGGGTGTGCGGAGGCAGCGGTGCCAGGGGCCGAGCCGGGGCTGAGCCCGGCTCCTCCGGCCGCAGACAGCTCCCACACCACCGTCACGCCACTCACCTTGCCGGCTCGGGGAGGGAAACACCAGCATCACCAGCACGGGAAGAATCGCGGAGGCAGCGGTGTCAGGAGCCGAGCCGGGGCTGAGCCCGGCTCCTCCGGCCGCAGACAGCTCCCACACCACCGTCACGCCACTCACCTTGCCGGCTCGGGGAGGGAAACACCAGCATCACCAGCACGGGAAGAATCATAGCTCCATCCACCATCGCAGAGCTGCAGAGAGAGAAGAGACGTGAGAGCTGAGTACACTGTCGCTGCTGGCTTAAAACACAACCCCCAAAATCAGTGTTTAGCAATGTCTTTCATCAAGTCGTTATACAAAGCACAGAACAACCAAGGTCAATTGGTCTCCTTTTTACTGTGTCTTGTTTCCTTAGTCCTTTCCTTCATTTATAAGACTCATAATTTACTGCAATTTCTTCAACCTGATTTTTTTTTTAGTCACAGAAGCATCACGTGCAACTACAGTGCATACTTACAAACACACTAACAGGAAAACATGAGCCCTCTCAGGACCAAGCAGGCATGTAAAATAGAAAATAAGCTCTTTCAACCAGGTATTAAAAAGTTAAATTACTGTGAAATGAAAAAGGCAGCCCGTAAAACCGTGTATTACCTAGGCTTTGAGAGGCAACAGAAGAGATCTCAGCCAGAAAACTCTGAATAACTTTCCGTAACCAGCAGAAACCATTGCTAGATGGCAAGCAAACAGCAAGATGTATTTAAGGGAGACACCACTCTCAGAAGAGTAATTTCGCAGTTTACGCTGCGTTTCTAAGGGTTTTCCTTTCAATGGCCCAGCTTCATTTCACTGCTGCTGAAGACAGGTACATACACCACACATTTTGTATGAAAACTCGGGCTGTTCCCAGCGTATCAGTAAAGGCACATGCTTCCTCTAAAACAGTAAATACAAGAGTGAATTCTCTTGTGTATTTCAAATCTTTTCCAGGAAACCTGGTCTTCACAAGAAGATAAAAACTCCACTGTTTACTACGAACTTAGAATTATTCAACAGGCTTCTGAAAAGAAACTTTCCTGTAGTTTCTTAAACTGTGCACTCAAATGATCACTATTACCAAGGAACAGAGATCAACCATAATCAAACTGCACAGGGCTTGAACTCGACAGGCAGGGCTGGATGACTCGGAAGTGCCCGTCTGCCCTGCGCTGCCCGGTTCCCGCAGAGACTCTGTCACAAAAGCAGCGACAAGCAGTGTGTGCAAAACAAAGCTGCTCTCCTTGACCAAGGGACCGAGCCACTACTATTCTTCTGACATGGAATTATTTGTCTTCCTTTTTCAGATTTAATTCTAGTGAAGTAGATGAAACTTGAAAATAAATTTGTTGTTGCCATTTTTCTTTCAGATACCCTCTGCCACTGCCTTTTCAAATCATTATCAGGCTACTTAAGGACTTGGTGACGAAAGCCAAGCCATTTACTTCTACATTTATTTCCTGACAGGGACTTATTTTGCAGAATAGGACAAACATGTCAGTAATTGCTTCACCATCAGTTACAATGATGAAAAACTTCTGAAGCCAACTATTCAGAGTTTCCGTCCGTACAGAAAGGATCAGGCAGCGGGCAGCACTTCACCTCCAGGAGTGAAACTCTCCCTTTCAGACGCCCATTCACCAAGTAACTTTGCCTTCCTTGTTCTCGATACACGTCAGTGCGTTCTTAATATGCGTCAATATTTAACCTTCAACAATTATGCTGGAAACACGAAGAAATGAAGTTACACAAGCACGATGACTGAGAAACCAGCATAGGAAGTTCAAAGCAGGAGAACGCTATCCCAGGCAATGACCAGTTGCTTCACGCTCCGGACCAGGGCTAAGGGTTCCGCTGCTCCGGAGGGCAGGCAGCTGCAGGACTCGAGCGCGGTACCGTCCTCCCCAGCCACCACGCACGTGTCCGCTGGCTGAACAGCGCTGCAGCAGCGTTTTCCTCGGCGCTGCACCCATGTAACTCCCTGCAAGCCTAGACAAAGGCGGCTCGGGAGACATGCCCTCTGTCTTTCAACACATCAATGGTTCCAAGAGCAGAGGCAGAACGCTTTGATTTTAACAATGCTGGCCAGCAGCCTCGGCGGAGCTGGGCAAGCCGGCTGCCCTGGGGGCTGCTGGGCGGGAGGCAGCAGAGGGGACACCAAGCACAAGGAAAAAGAACTCTAAGAGAGACAAAATTGAACTTAACACCACAGAGTGGGTTAGGACATTAAACAGCAGCACGCTGCCGACACGCAGAGTGGTTGCCAAGTTTTCTACTCATGGTTGTACCCTCCATTTGTTTTCTGCCGGTGGGGAGCCATCACACAGCTTCCAAGGCTGCAGGTCGGCTGGGAGACCCATGCCTGTCGCAGCCTCCCCTCCGCGGGGTCCCTCCAGCCCTCTGCCAGACCCTCAGCCTCGGCCGCACCAGCCCTTCCTCCCGGCAAACCCGGCTGAAGCAGCGAGAGCAGCAGAGGAACCTGCCAGGAGCTCCGTGCGGTTCTGCCAGGAAAGGAGGCTGGACACAAGAAACGAGCTGGCTAGCGCGGAGGAATCGAAGGTACAGGAACCAGATAACAGCACAGAATCCAGGAAAACTCTGCCAGTTGCATGTGCCTATTTGTTTTCTTTTCAAACAGTTTATTTCAATTCCCTAAAAAAATCATATATACACACACACGCGCGCACATGCCCCTGCCCTGTATTTCTCAGGGGAAGAGGCGGAAGGAAACCCAAACTGCCCCCCCCGAAGCAGCACACAGCCTACCCTGGGAGCTGGCCCATGGTGACTAGTTCCCATCTCAGGAAGGGGAGTTCTAACACTCTTGGGTGGCTAAAACCAGCTCCCCGTCCTCCAGTTCCTAAAACCAGCTCCCCAAGTATGGTGAGGACTGGTAAAAATCCTCAAAGGGATCAAATACGGCAAAAAGCCACAAATCCACGATCACAATCCTTCTCCAGCCCTCACTCCAAACGCTGCTGAGAGCTCCCCTTCAGCCCAGCCCGAGGATGACTCCGCTGCATGGCGCACCCGCCGTCACACCCGTTTCTTTGCCCCCCGCAC